TAACTATTTTCCTGGGGAAAACACAGTACATCCAGTATATTTTAGTGCCATTTGCCCCACCTACTTCCCAAATACAAGTAAATAAAATAAAAATACAGAAATCTGTTCTTCTGTTTTGATTCTTTAAAAAATAGTATTTCATCATATTTGTGTGCAAGTGTTTTAATTTATTTTGCAATTTTGTTCAGCAGTAGAGTTTATGCCTAAAAATAGCAAAGCTGACTGTGGAGACTTCCCATTTTATATTCTGATAAAAAAAAAAAATGCTTTGGAGAACTAAGCCAACGAAGGGCCGAAGAATGGTGACTCATTCTAACTCATCCAGTATTTCTCAGGGAAGACTTTCCTAAGGCACGGAAAGTGAGGGATGGCTTTCGGAAGGATGACTGTGAACATGGCAGGGTGTACCTTCAAGAACAACTTTTAATGGAAGTGATCAGACAATTTCCCACAAATCCATGTCTTGGCTACGGATTTGAAGTAAAATAACACAAAAACCACATAAGCTTAACTGGGAGGTGCTCTGAGCATGTAGTGTTCTTTTTTCTAACAACTCTGCCCTGGCCACTGTTTCCTGACACAGTGTTCATCCAATGACACTCATTTTTGTCTGTCTTCTGACTCACATAATTTTGTAGTGTGATGAAACCTCTTCGTAGCTATTTTGCGGGATTTTGTGCGAAGGCTGGTTAACCCACAGAACCTTCCTAAGGCTGGATGTTGCAAAGGGCCAACACACCAAAACTGTTGACTCATTCGCCTCTATCACCTCTAAAAAGAAATTATAAACCAGGCATCAAGAGTCTACAAGAAAACTTTAAGACACAAATATGGATGAAGACTGAGAACAGTTAGAAATGCTTTTCTAGTATTAACTGAAGCATTTACTAAGACAGAACTGCCCTGGACAACAGAGATAGTTATTTCATAAACTTTTTTTAAACTTTAAAGACATAATAAAAGTTAACTATAGGGTACATAAAATGCTTACTATGCTTTTAAGGTAATTAAGAATCTGAATACAGTATAAAATGGGGCTTTTTCAGACCAAATGACCTTAGCATCCCTACCTTGGGATCATTTAAGATTAAGAGATTTTATTATGCAAATTAGGCCTGCGGCTAATTAGAGAAATAGGTCACTTGAAAAAGTTAATTCTAAACATTCAGAAAACCTGCATATATCATTTTGCCACATGTCAAAGCAAATAACCAGCTATGAGGAGAATTAATGAGGATTCATAGCATTTTGTCATGTGATGAATATACACTCAGTAGTCTTAAAATACACTTCCAATTAAAAATTAATATTTACTTCTGAAACTCAAAAGTATAGTGCCTGTATTTTAAATCTGGTAATACTACACATCAAATTAAACATCTTTAAGTAATTTACAGCAGATCCTGTCTATTTCAATGGGATAAAAGCTACACTAACAAGAGTTCCTATAGTGGATGTGTATGTCCAATCATAGTTGGGAACTGGAGACTTCCATCACTAGCCAGAACTACAACAACAGCCGTTTCTAGAGAAGAAATTAAAATTCAAAGAAATAAAGCTACATTCTTATTAAGTTCAGGCAGCAGGACTAGAACCCATATCCCCAGGCCCAGTGCTCCTAGAATCAGGAGATCTAGGGCACCAATTCAGTCCATTAGCAATTTAGACTGTTCCCTTGCAGGCTAATGAAGTACTACTCGTAACTATTAATTCTCTTCTTTCTCGCCATGGAAAGAAAGCAACACATAATATTGATGATTTCCATACTGATGATGAAAATCATATTGATTTTCTTAGTTATGAAGGTGCTAAATAGACACTAACATCTGAAATTAAGCACATGCAGCATATATTGTAGCAACTCAAAAACAGCAGTATTATTTATTGACTATCTCAAAATAAATAGATGATTTGAAGTATTAAACATATACTTGTAAATTTTAAGTTTTTTTCTCATGCTACCTAGTATAGTACTATTTTAATTAGAATGTGACTATGAGAGAGAGGGAAAACGAGAGAGAGAGAGAGAGAGAGAGAGAGAGAGAGAGAGAGAGAGAGAGAGAGAAATATTAAGATTGTTTGATGTGTGCCCAACTGGCATGGCTCAGTGGTTGAGCACTGACCTATAAATCAGGTCAAGGTTCGATTCCCGGTGGTTAGGGCACATTCCTGGGTTGCTGGCTCCATCCCCAGTGGGGTCATGCAGGAGGCAGCCAATAAATGACACTCTCTCATCATTAATGTTTCTATCTCTCCCTCTCCCCTCCTCTCTGAAATCAATAAATATATATGTATATTTTTAGAAGATTGTTTGATGTGGAAAGTAGTCACTTTTTTAAATCTCTTTATTGTCTTGATGCCTTGGGATTCTTGAAGAAGCAAAAATGTTCACATTAACTTTTTAAACTATTTTAGAATGTGTTCTTCTCATCATTATTTCTTTCCCAGGGAAAGCTGTGTGTCAGTGAGCTTTGCTGTAGGCTGGGTGACAAATTGGTTTCTGCACTTTCCCCACTTCTGTAAGGTCATCCTACGTCTGTGCCATAGCAGAAGCCGTTCAGCTCTCTGTGGAGAGTCTGCGTGGACTTCCTCAGTCTGAGCTCTGGGCCCCTCACCCAGCCCTGTGACAACCACCCAACCAGCCGCATTCAAACCGCCTCTCATTGTTCCAACCTTGAAATGCTCAACTCTATTTTAAGAACAATTCCTTTATCCCTGGCTTTTGCACTGTAAATCAGAACTCTACGGAGAGTTCTGGGGGCCAGCAGAGCTCAGCTACCCACAATGAATCTAATAATGAGTTTTTAGAGAGAAGAAAAATAAGAAATGTCATCATTGTGCAGATTAGTATCATAATTAATTACAAAGTAAACCATGGTTCTAAATACAAACCTGTCATGTGTTGATAGGTAATTTATTATTAAATGCTCACATTTAAACCAAAAGATGTTGCTTGTTTAGTATTTATATTTATTTCCTGCACATTCAGACTCAAGGCTAGCCCCATGGTTGCTGAAATCCCACTTCCACTCCCTGGGAACTTAGAAATGAAAAGCCGTCTTCATGAAGTCATAGACTAAAGTGCATGGAAGAGAGAATCCGGGTCTGTTGATGGGTCTGCAAGGAAGAGCCAATCCGTGGGCTTGGGCTGCAGGTACAGCTCTAATGACAACATCTAACACCATAGGAACATCAGATACTCTACAGCATCTGCTCTTCAGGTCTCCGCGCACCACCCTACCTGGGGGAATTAACCTTCTTAATGAACTCATCTGAAGTCACTTTCAGTTCCCTATAAATGGTATGCCAAACATTAGTGTCCTTGGTAAAATCTTACTTAAATTGTCTTAAAAAAAAAAAAAAAAAAAAAAAAAAAAAAAGCCACTAGGCTCACAAAAGCTTAAGGTTTCCGTTTATTCTACCTAATAACTATTTTAGAATCTCAAAGATGTCTCTATTATTTTGTACACTTTGCCACCCAATCTACTCGTTTCATCCTTTAGAATGCTTTTATTTTCATTTTACAATAATTATTTCTTTAAATATATAATTCACCACTTTTCCTTTTTGTGTGTTTTTGTTACTTATTCTTGCTCAGCCACTCTCTGTGTATCAGGTTCACCTACAAAGAGGTTTTCAGTCTCTGTGGCACTTAAGGTTTACAGCAAAGGATAATAAGAGAATTGGATGGTTATGACCACTTTTGTTTTAATTGCAAATGTAGTAAAAAATATTACATTATTGAGCACTAAGTCACTATTCAGTGAATTATTGACCCTGAGCTTTAAAAAGAGCAGCTAACAGGCTGAGAAAGCAGAGTTTTAACCTGGTCACCAAGAGATGGAGGGTGCAGCCACTGGAGAGCAGTTAAGTGCTCTTCCCTAAGGAACTGAGACTACGGTAATAGATAAGTGAGCAAAATTTTAAACCAAAGAAATTAAGAAAAAATTATTTCATTGCTTGAATGACGTCAAGAGCTGTCTCAATCACCCAGTCTGCACTAACAAAGCCCAGGCCCTAGAACGACCCTGGCTTTGTGCTAGGATGGAGTTTGCCTGAGTAGGCATGTGCTCCAGGGGATGCACTATGTGACTTCACAGCCTCATGATTAGACAGCGGTTCATATATGACTCAAAGGGTACATAAAATATGTTCCTAATGCAATGTATCAAATGTCCAGATAGATTTTTTAAAAGTAACTGGTTGAGCAACCCTCACTAAATCTGCTTTTGACGTGCCCATGCATAACTGTGGTTTGTCTGTAACACCCATCCTTCGAACCTATATGCTCCATCTCATTGATGCCTTCATGAGGAAAGGGTACCCTTATTAGCCGAGACCGGTTTGGCTCAATGGATAGAGCTTCAGCCTGCAGACTGAGAGGTCCTGGGTTGGAGTCCAGTCAAGGGCATGTACCTTGGTTGTGGGCATATCCCTAGTAGGGGTGTGCAAGAGGCAGCTGATCAATGACTCTCTCTCATCGATGTTTCTAACTCTCTATCTCTCTCCCTTTCTCTCTGTATAAAAATCAATAAAATATATTTAAAAAAAAAAAAGAAGAAGAAAGAAAGGGTACCCTTATTACTGTTGAATCCCTAGAACTAAGGCACAGTTTCTGGCACAGAGGAAATATAAGTGAGTGAGTGAATGGATAGATGGATGAATTGATGAAAAGAAATGTCACAGCACAAGTTACCCAGCAAAAATCTCACCAATGGTCCTTAAAAATGCTTTTGTTAGTAGAGATGCTGAGTATATTCATATATATATTCATTTATTTCAATGCTATAAAAACTCTAGAAGATTTTTTTCTCTTTAGGTATTTATATTTAATGAGTACTATTAGTATAGGGTCCCACATTCAATTAAGGTTTCTTTCCCAAAAATGGATTATCACCAAATATTTGCCACAATAAATACTTTTAAGGAAGCAAAACTTGATACAAACCTATTTAGCTTATCCTAATTTCTATAAAATAAATAAATAGAATTATACTTACATATAATGTAATAATCTTTGTTCTTCTGAAATTCTAGACCCCAAAGGTTAGGGCTGAATTCTTGAAACTTGATAGTGAATTTTACATCTTGGTCTGGTCTGGCACAGTTGAGAAGAGGGGTATTTTCCTTTTTAATAGTGCATCTGTCTGCTTGGTCTTTATCAACCATATAAACTTTATAATATTCATACTGGCCAATAGTTTTAGAGTCCATTTTGGGGCAAATAATATCCAATTTGTCTCCTATCTGTGGGTATAGTACCAGTCCTTGTCCAGGTAGAAATCTAAAAGCATAAAAAAAAAAACATTGAGTTGACAAATGTTAACATATTAATAATTATCACAAAATAGCCAGACAACACCAATAACTCCAAACTACAATTTTATAAATTCAAACTTTTATTTACTAAAAGTATCTTAGTTCAGATCAGCCTGGGATGAATGTATTTAGGAATTAAACTTTAAAGAAAAGAAAAAGCCGAAATCGGTTTGGCTCAGTGGATAGAGCGTCGGTCCACAGACTGAAAGTCCCAGTTCAATTCCAGTCAAGGGCATGTTCATTTGCAGCTGATCGATGTTTCTCTCTCATCGATGTTTCTAGCTCTCTATCCCTCTCCCTTCCTCTCTGTGAAAAATCAATAAAAATATTTTTAAAAGAAAAAGAAAAGAAAGAACTACTCTCCTTACTCAACACCAGCGGTTTTCAACCTTTTTCATATCATGGCACACACAAACTAATTATTAAAACTCGGTGGCACACCAAAAAAATATATATTTTTTTTGCCAATCCAACCCCCAAAATGGCATAATTTTGATTCATTCACACCGGATGGCTATTGTTGTGTTGGCTGCTGTCACTTTTCACCTGATAATCCAAGGGAAAAGAGTCAGTGCCTCTGACTAAATAGTCAGCTATTGCATTTTTTTTTTTTTTTTTTTTTTTTTTAATTCTTGTAGCACATCAGTGGGCCTCTTGCGACACCCTGGTTGAAAATCGCTGCCCTGCGCAACGGGACCAATCAGCCCGCTGACGTTTCTTTCCTACCCCCTCACTTTCATAGCTCAGTACTCCTTTGTGTAACTTTACAATAACTTTTCCTGCGGGTGAGTCAGCCCTCCCCACCTGTTTGTTATTTTTTAACCATTGGCAGCTTTCGTTTATTGGGCATGCCACAGAAAGATGGCATCAGCGCCAGCGAGCAGTGGGCGCACTAATACTTTGTTGTCTTGTTAAGTTTCCATTGGCTGTTGATGTTAATTAACAGACAAGTTTCATCAAGAATGTTTCAAATTACTTATCATAATTAGTCAGTCACTGATCAAACAATGGGTTTTTTATGGCAGGGAACAAAAGAAATGTCTTACAAACCCATAAAAGATAACTAGAAATAATTAGTTGTGGTATTGATTCAGCTGCAAGATGAAGAGTCCCTGACTTGCAAGGACAGCAGCTACTGTCCTTGCTCCACCAACCCTTTCTTCCCTTCCCTGGAGATGTATTTGCTCCAATTAATTCTTAGAAGCAAAGCTTTAGAACTAAGACAACTGATACAATATCCCCTCCATGCTTACAGCTAAAAGCTTCCCCCCTACCCTACCCCTTTCTTGCTAGCCGTGCTGCTGAAAGATCGCTCTTAATGGGGAGTTTCTCTGAGAAACTGAAACAAGAGCTTCCTAATGAACATCCTTCTACAAGTGCTAACACCAATAACACACTTAGAGATCCCAGCTCTTTCCTCTGTGCGCAGCCAAGCCCTCAGGCTCATTAAAATATTAAAGCCCAAGAACAAAGCATCATGTCTGAATCCTGCCAATCCGACCCTTTATTTAACCAGGGAAGCCCACCAGCCATAACAATGAATGGGCTGTAATGCACTGAGAGAGAAAGCCAGGATGGTGGGGCACCCTCAGTGTCAAATCCATTCCGAGGAAACAGGTTATGATGTATGCTAATGAATGGTATTAATTTTCTGAAAATTGCATGAGGGTGGTTATGAAGCATCACAGGACATAACAGAAATTACATTATAGGTTTATATTAAAAACCAATACTCGTTTATGGCAGGGAAAATGCATTTTGCTGACAGTGGTTTGTCATTTTCCTTGGGAGCGCTACTTTACAATCCTGAAGAAAGAGAAGTCCCCCCATCCCCTTCCCACTTTATTTTTGTTATTAAGCTTTTTTAGCCAGGACATATGACATTTATTCATTAACAAAAAGAAAACGAAAGAATGAAAGGAAGGGAGGAAGGGAAGGAGAGCAAAAATCACCTAACGTAATACCCAAATGAGTATTTTTTAAAATCACAATGACAAATTTCATACAAACAGGTATGCATACGTGAAGAATTCTCTAGGACTTTGGACAAATGAAGATTACTAGTGAATAAGAGTCTCTCTTTGATCTTCTTGACCACTTTCCCAGTTTCCTGGGGAGTTGCTTTGGAAATTCAACTCCAAAGGACTGAAGGACTCCTGGGTATTCCCCAAACCTCCTGCGTGCCAGGGTGGACTCTCTAGGCAAGTCCATCTTTGTGAATAAGAAAACAAAGACTCTAGGTTCTGGTGGAGGAATGGAATCAGACTGTCTGCGGAAAAGGCTTTTTAGCCTTCACACTTGCCCCTTACAGGGCTTCTGATATGTATGTTGCTGGCAATCACTACCAATGAAATCATGTGAGCCTTATCTCACTCACCTGCCTGACACATCCCTTTTCTCAGTTTTATCCCTTAACCTTCTTAGTAAACCTTCACTGCATCCAAAGACCGGAAGCAAATTCCTGCCTGAGGTTCCCACCTCACTTCAAATATTTTCTACCCTAAATCTTCTCTCTTAGTAGCTGATACAGAGCAACCACCACAGGTAAGCTGTTGTTAGAAGTACTATTATAGTATTTATCAATCACAGCCAAGGCCTGCAACCTGGAGACCTGTACCTGCCTCCGCTCAAAGCCCTGATCTCCACACCCATCCACTTTCACCATGGGCCAGCGCCCCAGGGACTTGCCCGTGCCTCAGATATCAGCATCCTTAGCAGCCAGATGGACCTATTTTCTTGTCTATCCAGTCGATTCTTTTCAAAATATGTATCAGCTCCCCCACCCCTGCAAGCTGTATATCATCTCTGCCTATCTTAGAACTCTCCCACATCACACCCTATGTCTAAAGTTTGGCTCACTGAGCTCTTTCTTCATTCAAAATGCTCCCAGGATCTTGTTTCCTTCATGAGATACATTTTCTTCCTGCTTCACCAAGGACTCATCGGAGGCGTCCTCCCACCCATGGCAGTAACTCCTCATGACTCTCTCTTCACTCACCAACTCGGAGTTACAGCTCTTACTGGTGCTGATGGGTGAGGCCAAGGAGATGTGACACATGGGCTGATGTGCCAACAAAGATCTCCACATTCTAGACCATATTTTCAGAAGGCACAAATCCCATGAAAAGCGGTAGTAGTCAGTGATGGGGAAGCCATAACCCATAAAGGGAAGGGGAAGAACCTCAAATTTCAATAAACATACTTAATATGCTCATGGAAAGTAAATCTCAGTAAAACTCACTATTTCTAATGCTTGAAAAGAGTCAGTTCACTTTGCAGAATATATTGTGGCAAAAAAGAAAGCAAGAATGTTATCCCTTTCCCCTGAAAAAGTAACTATTTCAAGGGAATATTAAAAATATTACTGCTGTCCTAGCTGATTTAGCTCGGTGAATGGAGCATCGGCCCGGGGACTGAAAGGTCCCAGGTTCAATTCCGATCAAAAGCACACGCCTGGTTGCAGGCTCAATCCCCAGTGTGGGGTGCGTGCAGGAGGCAGCTGATCAATGATTCGCTCTCATCATTGATGTTTCTCTCTTTCCCTCTTCCTTCCTCTCTGAAATCAATAAAATAAAAGGTTGAATATGAAAAAGACCCAATACTTGAGTGCTTTAGAGGTTTACTCTGTAAGCACACATATATATCCAATGGTCAGCATCGCAGTGGCTTTAATTGATGAGGCTAGGATTTCTCCACAGGCAAAAGGCGAGGCTGCGTTTGAGCCTGAATCACAGATTCCTTGTACACGTCACCACTGTGTGCCTTTGAGCCCCTGCAGTTTCTTTCTGCCCTCCCAGGAGCCCTCACTGTTTCTAAGGCAACAGGGGAACAAACTGGAGTCATATGAGTATAACAACTTAAAGCGCTGTATTTCATGCCAGACTCTGAGCGACAAAAAAAAAAAAAAAAAAAAAAAAAAGTAGAAGATCCTGATCATCAGGAATTTACAATCTATCTCCCTGAGGGCCAGAGGTCCCAGGTGTGTCTGATTCAATAACGAAAGCCCAAAGGCTGACATATGGTAAATGCTCCATAAGTAATGTATTCGCTGAAAAAAATATATATATATGAAAGAACAAATGGGAGCCAAAATATACACAAATAAAGTAAAGTCAAATTAGGTGCCACAAACTATTTGCAATTACAGGCATGGAAGGAATGCTCGAGCTGGGACCACCTAGCGTTGGGACTGGGGTGTGTGAGAGCAGAGATGAGATTTCCAGAAGACAGCAGCCTAGACAGGATGGTGTTTCTGGAGAACAAGGAGCCCTGCAGATGGAGTTTCAGAGCTGCTCTCTCTGGAAGGATTTATGGGTATCAGCAGTCCTCTGCAGTCGCTTTCTATTAAAACTGCAAGGCAATTAAACACCTCCAGAAACACTAATAACAAAAACACTGCTGCTTTTGAGCACTTACCCTGTGCTAAGCGCTGATCAAAGCGCCTTACATCACGTTCTCTTCATGTAATCACTGCGCGGGTACCCAACACGCAGAACAGGTGAGGGTACACCTGCGCCGAATACCGGGCACCACAGGAAAAGCGCCCTTTCTCTGCACACGTTTCAGATCTTACTGCATTACGTGAAAGCATAAATCTGGTTTGTGAAATGGATTTTTTTTTTCTTCAATTGAGCTTTTTACAGCCAAGCCATAAAGTTAAAGGAAATCAAGAGAAAGTCAGTCTGCACACAAGCTTGAGAGCACCTCCATCTACCTCCAGGCCAATCACCGTGGTTGTGCCCAAAGCCGAGGCTGCTTCTGAGGGAAGAGAACCAGAGACCACGGCTCATGAGGGCAGCAATCTGGGATCCCTGCCTTCCCCTAGGCCCGTGGTGGGCAAACTGCAGCTCACGAGCCACATGCAGCTCTTTGGCCCCTTGAATGTGGCTCTTCCACAAAATACCATGGCCTGGGCAAATCTATTTTTGAAGAAATGGCATTAGAAGTTTCAGTTTAAACAATTTG